ACTACATCCAAATAAACATGGTAAAAATGGTAACAATAAAGGTGTGATAGGTGGATATAGGAAATTTGAATAGCCCCGTGCAGAAGGAAATATAGCACAAGTTTGGTCAAAGGATCGGCTTTATTTATCTCTTTAACGAATTGTAGTATGGTGCTAGGAATGGCAAAACTCATTGCCGATGCCGGCGAAACGTCTTGGGATGTACCAGGTCCACGGATCGACTTTGGAAATTATCATGCATACAATGGACTCCGGACTAGATGCGTCCCTCTAAGTCTTCCTACCAATATAACCAAGTTGGGAAAACAAGATCAAACAACATCTATGCAACAAAAGGAGACTGCGACCACACAAAAGGCCACATTGTTTTAGTCTTCATATCTTCGATTAACCAATATTAATCATTGTTGACAATTCAGCTCATGACAAATAAAATGCAGGATGAGTTTCGATCTTGCCATAAAAAAATGTTCTAAAGTAAAATGAAACTTTGCAGCGCGTATGTGTCAACGTTTCATGTAGTGGTGTAATGAGACCACTTCTAATGTAAATTGGAAATCATAAGATAGATGTCACTGGGATGATACAATTCCTGAGTTGTAGTCAAAACGCGAAAACAGCTTAGTGTCTAATAGCTCACCTTTATCTAATAGAATAGCCCCACTACCCTTTTTCTTGTTGCTTCGAATACTAGTTGGTGGAACCGATTGTTTTCTTGACTCTCCCGCATCGTCAGGTTCATGCGTTTCTATGCGTCGACCTGGCTCACTGGAACAAGGCGTTATCGGATACTGCGGACCACCAGATGAATCGTGACTCGTCTGCGGTATATGACCTGCTCCAATCCGATTGCGGCGACCCGGACCCTCCATCATAGTTGTCCCATTGACTGAAGAAACTAGTTCGGTTGAATTAATAGTAGAGCCAGAAATCTGCTCTAATTGACCGGCATAAAGCATGACAGGAGTTATATTAGCAACGGAAGGCGCACCAGCAGACGAGAATGATTCAAGAGTAGACGAATGATCAACCAGAGAGTCGGCAGACAATGTTACTGAGGTTTGGGTGCGAGAGGGTCCAAGTTGAGAAGAAATCGAAGTGGAGCCTACGATTGGCAGAAGGTTGATGTGGGAAAGATCATTTGAAAGAGCAACTGCTTCCGAAGAAGCAATTAATTGTTCGGCGACTGTGGAGGCCGGTGATGGACCCAAATAATTCATGTCTTGGACGAAGATAATAAAAATAGACAAATTAGGAAAGTTATAGTCTGAATTAAAAGCACGTTAAATTATATTCCCAAATCCTTTAGCTTTAATAAAAAATCATAGTGCTTCCTTCATTTCAGTAAAAACTAGTCACACTCCCAACCATACGCCATACTCAAGTGATAACACGACGAGAAATGAAAAAAGAGTTAAAATCACGATAAACTTTTCATCTACGAAAGGCGGTTGAATATAATAGATAAGTAAAGAAGTTCATTTATAAAATTGGTTACCAGTAAATATGTGTAGAAGAAACCAACATATATTCACCTATAACCTCAAATTGGCCAGGATGTTGGATTTGGATGCTATTTGGTGCGTTGCCAACTAAGTAGCCAGTTGGAAAAGTCTGTATTGGCAAGCCAGAAACTGGGTTTGAAGTAGTATAAATCCCAGTCGCCATAGAAAATACAGGAACTGGAGTTTCGGAAGTAGCTGAGACAATCTGTCCGACGCATGTCATCTATTTATGCAAAGACGATCCGAAGATAAAAAAGATAAAAGAGAGAGTCAATGAGCGAAGCTAATATGAGTCAAGTGTAGAAAAA